TAGAAAACCAGAAAGACTCCACCAAAAAATTTTCTAGAACTGATACACGAATTCAATAAAGTCACAGGTTACAATATCAACATACAGAAATCTGTTGCATTTCTATACACCAAAATGAAGCAGTAGAAAGAGAAATCAAAGAATTGATCCCATTTACAATTGTACCCAAAACTGTAAGATACTTAGGAATAAACCTAACCAAAGAGGTAAAATATCTGTACTCTGAAAACTATAGAACACTTGTGAAAGAAATTGAAGATGACACAAAGAAATGGGAATACATTCCATGCTCATGGATTGGAAGAAAAAATATTATGAAAAAGTCTATACTACCCAAAGCAATCTACATATTTAATGCAATCCCTATCAGAATACCACCGGTATTTTTCGCAGAGCTAGAACAAACCATCCTAATATTTGTATGGAACCACAAAAGACCCCAAATAGCCAAAGCAATCTTGAGAAAGAAAAGCAAAACTAGAGGCATCACAATTCTGGACTTCAAGTTATATTACAAAGCTGTAGTCATCAAGTCTGTATGGTACTGGCACAAAAACAGATTCATGGATCAATGGAACAGAATAGAAAACCCAGAAATGGACCCACAACTATATGGTCAACTAATCTTTGAAAGAGCAGGAAAGAATATCCAATGGAAAAAAGACAGTCTCTTCAACAAATGGTTGGGAAAACTGAACAACAACATGCAAGAGACCACTTTCTTACACCACACATGAAAACAAATTCAAAATGGATGAAAGATCTAAATGTGAGACAGGAAACCATCAAAATCCTAGAGAAGAACACAGGCAGTAATTTCGACCGTGGCCATAGCAACTTCTTAACTAGATACATCTCCTGAGGCAAGGGAAACAAAAGCAAAAATGAACTATTGGGACTTCAAAAACTAAAAGGCAGCCTACAGAATGGGAGAAGATATTTGCAAATGACACATCTGATTAAGGGTTAGTATCCAAAATCTATAAAGAACTTATCAAACTCAACACCCAAAAAACAAATAATCCAGTGTACAAATGAGCTGAAGATATGAATAGACATTTTTTCCAAAGAAGACATACAGATGACTAACAGACACATGAAAAGATGCTCAACATCACTCATCATCAGGGAAAAACAAATCAAAACTACAATGAGATATCACCTCACACCTGTCAGAATGGTTAAAATTAACAAGTAAACAACAGATGTTGGTGAGGATGAGGAGAAACGGGAACTTTCTTATACTGTTGGTGGGAATGCAAACTGGTGCAGCCAACTCTGGAAAAGATATGGAGGTTCCTCAGAAAGTTAAAAATAGAGGTGCACCTAGGTGGCTCAGCTGGTCGGGCATCCAACTCTTGATTTTGGCTCAGGTCATGATCTCAGGATTGTGGGATCAAGCCCCTCATTGGGCTCTGTGCTGGGCATGGAGCCTGCTTGGGATTCTCTCTCTCTCTCTCTCTGCCCCTCCCCTGCTGCTTTATCTCTAAAAAAAAAAAAAAAAAAAAAAAAAGTGTGTATAGTTTTTCAAATGCTGAAAGAATTGTCAATTCTCTTCATGAGTTTTCTAAATTATATGTAGTGATTAACATAAGAATTATAATACCATCTGATCTTCAAGACAATGATGGAGAAGATAAAGGGAACTAAATGGAAGTAAGTTCCCTCTACTTCACTCAGAGTGGTAAAATGTTAATACCAATAGGCTTAATAGATCACATGTGTGTACTTTAATACCCAGAACAACCACTACAAAAACGACATAAAATATCCAAAATGCTATAAATAAATCAAGATGAAATCCTGAAAAATGGTCAAGTAACCGACAGGAAGGTAGGAAAAGAAAAACAAAGGAATCCAAAGAAAACAAATAATAAAATGACAGAGTTCAACCTGAACATATCAATAATTACTTAAATGTTAATGGTCTAAACACACTAATTAAAAGGCAGAAATTGACAGGATAAATTTTTTAAAAAGCATGACCCAATAAAATGTTGTTTAATATGCTGTTTGCAAGAAACTCACTTCAAATTCAATGACAAGTAGGTTGAAAGTATAAGGATGGAAAAAGATATACCATGCAAACTAATTTTTTTAGCATGACCGTCTACGTAGAAAATCTGAAAGAATTCATAAAAATTTTCCTGGAACTAATAAAAGATTATACCAATGTTGCAAGGGATAAAGTTGATATACAAAAGTCAATTGCTTTCCTATATAACAGCACTGAACAAATGGAATTAGAAATTAACAACACATTTATATTAGAACTCCAAAAATGCAATACTTAGGTATAAATCTAACAATATATATACCAGATCTATATGAGGAAAACTACAAATCTCTGATGAAAGATGTGAAAGAATTAAATAAGTGGAGAACTATCCCATGTTCATGGATAGGAAGATTCAATATTGTCAAGATATTAGTTCTCTCCAATCTGATCTATAGATTCAATGCAATCCCAACCAAAATCCCACCAAATAATTTCATAGATATCAACCACCTGATTCTAAAGTTTATATGGACAGGCAAAGGACCCAGAATAGCAACATGATATTGAAAGAGAACAAAGTTGGAGAACTGACACGACCCAACTTCAAGACTTCCAGACAGTAATCATGTGTGGTATTGGCAAAACATACACAAATAGATAATTAGAACAGAATAGATGGCCTGGAAACAGACGTATGTAAATATAATTAACTGATCATGGACAAAGGAGCAAAACAATAGTCTTTTCAGTACATGGTGGAACAAAGAGAGTCTTTCCAATACAACTGGATATCTACATGCAGAAAAATGAATCTTCATACAAACCTTACATCCTTCATGAAAATTAACTCAAAATGGACTGACTGCAGACCTAAATGTAAAGTGCAAAACTATCAAATGTCTAGAAGCTAACATGGGAACAAACCTAGATAACTTTGGGTAAGCTGATGACTTTTTAGATAAAACACTGAAGGCATGATCCATGAAAGAAATAGTGACAAACTGAATCTCATTAAAATTTAAAACTTTTGCTTTATAAAAGACAATGTCAAGAGAATGAGAAGACAAAGGGGATAATTGTTCATAAAAACACTTTTCTCTTTATTTTAGGGACACAACAAAACTAGATTTCTCAGTCTTTGCTGTAGTTAAATGTAGCCATATGACTAAATTTGACCAATGGAATGTGAATAGAAGAGATAGCCACTACTTTTTGTATTGGCCCATAAAAACCTTCTAGATGCCATGCTCCATTTTCTTTCCTCCTCCAGTGGCTTGCTGCAGAAGAGCATGATAAACTTGGAAACCGCTTTTGAAGATGGAAATAAGAATAAGAGAGAGAGAGAAGAGCTTGTGACCCTGAATCACTATTCAGAGGACAACTGATCATGAGAACCCATTTTTGGAATTGATATCAGTGAAAAATAAGTGATTATTTCATTAAGCCATAGTGATGTGGGGCAGCTAGGACTTCTTAACTCATATAGTCATTCTTGGCAGCTCCTCAGATATTGAGGCCAACACACTTTTCCAGAATATTTGACGGCCTCTCCTGTTTGGACCTGCAGATTCATTGGTCAACTATGTCCTTGTGCCCAGTGAGGCAATATCTGCAATGGCCTCTGGGTTTGATATAATTTCCTCTTTATAACCTAAAATCTGACATTTAAAAACATTTATAACTCCCCTGCCTTGTTTCAAGGAGAATTTAGAGTAGCTGACAAAAATACATACACTATACCAAGATCAAATAATTTAGAAAAAAATAAGGGGAAAAAAAGGGCAACCATAAGAAACAGAAACAAGAAATTTAAATAATCTCAGGTAAGGTAAATAACATAAATATGTTCAAGAAAAAACCTAATGCTATAGAACCCACATTAACCAATAAGATTTCTAGCCACCTACATAATTGGGAAATATGATGTATTCCATGAATTTATTTCATGCTTTTTATCATTTATCAAGATTTATTTGCAAGCCTTTTATTAAAGGAAAAAGCATGCAAGTTAGAAGTTGTTCAGGAAAAATACTACTTATCCTGACATTGACAATGGGGAGATTTTTCTCCTATGTGTTCTGATACAGAGGTCAGTGAATAAGAAAATATCTTCTCTAGCAAACACTGCCATGAGTCAAAGACCATTAAATTTCACAACTGAAACACTAAAAGAAAAGGAATAGTAAATGGAGAGAGACACCCACCCTCCCCTTTTTTTCTTATTCCTCGTTTACTTTTCTCAGAAATCTTCAATAACAACTGAAATACTTTCCTCAGGTATCAATTAATCTATGGAGAAAGAAATAAGATGGAAAGGTAGATTATAATTAGTTTTCTCAGTGATGTCTATGCAGTTGTAGGTCAGTTACTATTCATTACCAAATATGGGGACTGTTTCCAAATTTATTTATTTTTTTATCTCCAAATTTCTGAAAATTTTCAGAACATGGAAGCAGACAAACACAACTGCTCATTGGAAAATATACATGCAAATTTCCTCTGGGTTTCAGAGTAAGAATGCTGTAGAAAAAGATAAGAGTCACTTAAATTTGACATACAGAACAACTTTAGCTATAAAGTAGTTGAGGAAGATTACTTGAGACTATATAATTGTTCTCAGTGTAAATATAAGTAAGTGCATTAACTTTTTTTAGAGCAAATTTGAATAACATAAAATTTTGATATCACTATAAAATAAAAATTCCAACATTTTCTGTTTATAAAATAAAGAATTGGAGTCGGGTTCCAATTCCCAGCATAATGTATAAAAATATTTCCCCTTCCTACAGCTCTTTGATCTTTATTTTTAACATTTTCCTCACGACTTAAAGAATTATGATGTATGAAACATGGTATTTTTCATGCCCACAAGGGGGACCCTTTGCACCATAGCAACGGAGTTTATACTGCACAGATCTTATTGCTAATACACCATTTGACTGAGTGCATGATCTGCCATAAAGTGCTAGAAAGTCAAGTCATCTCTCCTCTTTGCTCTCACCTGTGAGTCCAGGCGGACAGATACAAACATAACCTGAGGCTTCAGGGTGGCTGAATGAAGAAGGCAGTTGAGCAAGGTGTCCATATTGTTTTTCTGGGGACAGCTCTACACATGTCCCACCAGACTGGCAGGGGTTCATGTCGCATTTGTTGATGTGGATCTCACATTGGGCACCGGTGTATCCTGCAGGATAAAAGTTCAGAGAAGCAGCTGAGTCAAAACTCCTCAACCAGAGTTTATGCCTGAAAGGAGGCTGACCACTGTCCTGGCACCAATTAACAAGACAATGTGCTGTCCTCAAGGAGCTAAGAAAGAAAAGCTGATAAGAGAAGTTTCCTTGAAAACAGCAGTAGCAAAGGAATCACTTGTACAATATTGACCAATATTTTTTAAAATATTTGATAAATAAGGCTTGAAATAAAATGGGACTTCAGGATAACTTTGATTTCCTGATTATTTTTTTTTAAGATTTTTTTTAATTTATTTATTTGACAGAGAGAGAGAGACAGGGAGAGAGGGAACACAAGCAGGGGGAGTAATAAGGCTTGAAATAAAATGGGACTTCAGGATAACTTTGATTTCCTGATTTTTTTTTTTAAAGATTTTTTAAATTTATTTATTTGACAGAGAGAGAGACAGGGAGAGAGGGAACACAAGCAGGGGGGAGTGGGAGAGGGAGAAGCAGGCTTCCTGCCGAGCAGGGAGCCCGATTCGGGGCTCCATCCCAGGACCCTGGGATCATGACCCAAGCAGAAGGCAGACGCTTAATGACTGAGCCACCCAGGTGCCCCTGATTTCCTGATTATTTTAAAGATTCCATCTCCTCAGATACTCCAATTGAATTTTTAGCAAGAAAAAAATATTTTTTAAGAAAATAGCCAAAAAGTCAGCAGAAACTACATAGCCAGCCCTAAATTCTTAGAACTCAAAGCAAAGGTAAATGATTACTTCTTCACACTCAGTAAGACAGAATAAAAAATTATTTTGTATTTAAATGGATTTAATTGGGTCATTTTATTAAGGACAATAAAACATGATTTAGTACTTTATAAAAAAATTTGAATATTAAATGTAAAAGACCATCCTTGCCAGAACTATTTCTTTGGCTTTACATACAAGTGCACTTGTTTAAAAAAAAACTATATATATTCATATATATATATGTATAGTCTTATTGTGTGTATATTAACATAACTGAAATTGCACTATATGCATCCTTCTATAACTTGCTTTTCTCAGTCCCTTGCACAATCTATCCATGTTAGTAATACAGATCTAACACATAATTTTTAACTACTGCCAAGTATTCTGTAACATGGAAGTACCATAGGTTAACCTATCTCTTAATGAATTGATATACATTTTACTATTACAAATAATGTTGCAGTGAATAGCATTATATATATATATATGCATGTGTATGTAAATGTCTGGGTATAGCACCGGGGTCTATGCCTAGAGAGGAATTTCTAGGTTATAGATTATGTACATATTTTATTTTATTTTTTTAGGATTTTTATTTATTTATTTGACAGAGAGAGACACAGCGAGAGAGGGAACACAAGCAGAGGGAGTGGGAGAGGAAGAAGCAGGCTTCCCGCCGAGCAGGGAGCCCAATGTGGGGCTCGACCCCGGGACCCCGCGACCATGACCTGAGCAGACGCTTAACCGACTGAGCCACCCAGGTGCCCCCATTTTTTATTTTAATAGATACTGATAAACACCTCTGGGAGTGGTCGTACCATCTATATACTTACTAGCGCAGGGTGAATGTGCATATTGCTCCAAACCCTTGTCAACAATTGCTATACCAAATAAAATGTTTTACCAGTTTGTTAGATTAAAAAAAAAAATAGTACTTCATTGTTGTTTGGGTTTACATTTTCCCCAGTTACTATTGAATTTAACATGTTTTTGGATTTTTAAAAAATCATTTCATATCTTTTTCCTGTTTTTCCCATTAGACTGTCTTTCTGATTAATTTATGATTTATATAGCACAATATATACATAAGCTGAAATATGAAGTTCTTAAAAACATAATTTGACTTATAATACAAGTGACTTCACAGTCAACTAAAGATCTTTGCAATGTCACTTAACTCTGCTGAGAAATATGTTCTTAAAATGAAATTTACAATCCAAAATTATAAAACTTATAAATCTGATCATGCTACTTCTTTACTTTAAAATTATTCAATGGCTTCTGCTTTCATACAAAATAAAATTCAAAATCTTTAACCTAAAATGCCCTTTATTATCTGGCCCCATTCCCATCTCTACATTCCTTCGCTGGAATGTTTTCTCCCCCGGGGCCTTCATGACAGGGTTCCCTCTCCTAGAATATGCTCCTCCAAGACTGTGCTTGGCTAAGTCTTAGCTTTGAGATTTAATCTTGTATGACTCTCTTGGAATGGCTTTTTCTCATGAATAGATCTAAATAAGATCCCTTTGTTTTCTCTCATATCACCCAGTTATTTCTTTCATCACTCTTAAAATAATTTTTATTATTTTTGTTATTATTTTTATGTATAGTTGCTTCCCTCAATAGACTATAAGCTCCACAAAAGCAGGGACTGTTTTTTATTTTATTCACCACTCCAATACCGAACAATGCATAAATAGTAGACTTTCAATCAATGACTGAATGAGATTCAAAGAGTAATAATCAACAATTTAGTTTACAATTCTAGTTTAGCAAGTAAATTGGAGAATTGACTATTAATAAGCAAATAATGAGAATATGATATGATTACTCATTTTGTAATTTAAATAAAAACCTGAATGGGGTCATATGTCAAATCATAACCACAACATAAATTCTGTTGCTCAACAGTATAAAACATTTGTCACATATGACCCTTGAGGTCTTTCTCAACCATCTGAAGAAGAAACTTAGAGAGGAAAAGGAAACTAAAAGCACATGTCAGATCAAATCCCACAATCTTTTGTGGTAACCCTCCCCCACCCAAGAACCCAAGGTCTCTTAAACCCAAATATCTACTTTTCCCAAGTTTTTATAAGTGGTATTCATTGTGCTACACTGAACTTATTGAAGAAAGCTCCAACTATTTTCAATTTTCTTCTCAGTTTAAGTCTCAGGATTCATACACAGGCCAAGTTAGGAAGTAATTTAAAACTTTCATAAATCCTTTTTTTGCTTTCTGACTCATGCATTACCCTATTCCTATAGTGAACATTAGGAAGGGTCTGATTTATGGTCTTCCCAGTCCTGTCCCCACCACTGGGGCCTTGTGGGAATTTTGTTTGCTGCTCCCATTAACCATGTGTATAAACAGACTCCTTCAGTCAAGGCTATATTCAATAGTTTTAACAAGTTTTTCTACAAAACTTTGTATAAAGAAACAATATATTGAGTCAAGTCCCTAGGGTTCTTACGTTTTTCTTTTTTTAAACAAATCCAATCTTACCTGGGTTAACAAGAAAACTTTTAAGATAAGCATTAAGATAAGTCATCTTAGACTGACACTTCTTGTAATTAATTATTTTTGAAATGAGGACCCCAGGCAATTATGGTGATGGAGTCATGCCATTGCCTTCAGTCGTGGTGGTCTTGTAATCCAAAGAAATGGTCTCTTTTTCTTAGATACAGGGCAGTTTGCAAACTACCCTGTATCTAAGAAAAGCATTAAATCTTCCCTTTATGTATAACAGTAAGAATAGGATACAAAGACGTTCTGAAATTTTCTATCTAGGCAAAATTACCATCATCCAGTAACTCAAGAAAGAAACTCAAGCAGAACTGTCCTTAGTCTGTGCCCCTTTCTTAATGCCCACATCATATCTGCCTCCTAAATGAGTCTCATGGTTGTCCATTTCCTCATCCTTACCCTTAACACTGCAGTCATAGTTCTGGCAAATAGCCTTATCTCTTGTTTAAACTATCGCAGAACTTTTTTTTTTTTTACTAGAATCTCTGCCTTTTGTTTTATTTCTCTCAATCATCTTCCACTAAAGTGCTAGAGAGTTCTTATTAAATCAACAGGTCAGATTATGCTACCTCTCTGCTCCATAGTGTTCAGGGCAGACAAACAGCATTGTGATCTGGCTTGAGTCTTGTCTTGTTCCCCAGCCTCAACTCTCCACCACCAGCCCTATGTAGTCCAGCATTTTGGAACAATCAAAGTTCTACAACTGGATATGCTCTTTTCCATGTGTGCCTATAGCCCTTTCTTCCTTCTAGCTTCCTTTTCCTTCCTCTCTTCTTTCCTTGAATAAATTATGAGCTGCTATGTGCTAGCCAGAGGGTCTAGAATGGTCAATCTCCTAATTTTGGTACCTAGTTAACATTTACTGAGTGCTTACTATGGTCTAGGCTGACCTGGGAACTTTATATATATTACTGGATCTCTCTCTAAAGTAATTCTATGAGGTGGATATTATCATCTTTGCTTTATAGATGAGGAAACTGAGGCTCAGAGCAGTAAAGTAACTTGTCCAAAGTCACAAGTACATTTCTGGGATATGCTTAGTGATCTTTCAAATTTTCTAAAGTGGTGCCTACTGGATCAGGCAATCTCTGTACTTCTTCTCCCCTTATTCCGTTATAGAATCTATTACAGGTTGTTACTGTACCAAAAATTGTACAATGCACAATTTTTTTCACACTGTCTCTCTACTAGAATTTAAATTCCTTGGAAGAAGGGACCATGTCTTTTTGATTCCCAGACCCCTGATCTATATATAATTGGCACTGAAATCCATGTGGCTTAAATGATTGAATCCATGAATGAATGGAATACATATTGATTTGTCTTTTTTAAGGTAGGTCTTCTTAACTGCCTAACTTCATTACAAGCCCTCTAGAGAACAGAAACCATTCTCATATGTAATTCCTACCTCCTGTTGTAGAACCTGGTATGTAACAACAGTTGCTTTTTTTGAGTACCTAATATGTTCCAGGCGGATTTTTATAACTTTATTCTTCATAATAATACAAGTCATTTTTTTTCACCCCTCATTTGCAGATGAGGAACTGAGGAATAAGAGGTAACCATCCTAGTTCACTCAGTTAATAAGTGATGGAATTGTTCTGCTCCCAAACTGTCCACCCCACCTGTTTCCAGATAGAGATCTTGTACAGAGTGTTGATTGAATGTTGAGTGCTGATGGATGACAAGAATGTGAAAAAACACATTTTGGAATATTTTCAGTATTTAAGTCAAGCTAATGACCAAAGGATAACTAACATGCCCTATTCGTTATCTGGTAGTGGGCAGACACATGACTCACAAAGATTTCTGAGCCACAGAATTCAGAGCTTCCTTTTACCCTTCCACATTGTTTGTTTTTTACCTACAAAATATATGTAACCAAAGCATGCTAAATGTCCCTTAGACAATAAGATGTCTTTCAATGGGAAGCTACTAACAATTGGATTGACCCCAGTCTCCATATTCCTCCCCAACCACAGGATTATTTTTTCTTTAGACAGTAAAATGAAAGGAAAAAGGGAGAGATGATCAGTAAGCTCTTAACAACTAGATTTTAAATAATCATAACTTTATCATTTTTTACCAGTGGATCAAGAAAGAGGACACATGCTCTTTTATTTCTATCAATGAAATCCTAGTGAGAATTAGGTTAAAAATATGTCAAGCAGATTTTTTGCCAAAATTAACATCAATATTTACAGATGACTTGTTGACTTAAGTGGTATATAATGTTTTCTACTCATTCTGGTAACACCTTTACACTCCTGTCTAATTACCCTTCACGTGTAATTTTTAGTTATGGTTTATGTATATTAAACTTGTAATCTCATTTATATTATAAATGACTAGGAGAATACACCCATTTCTGGAATATCATTCTATATCCTCTATGGGGACCATCTGAATTATGTTGACTGACTCCATGAGTTATAATACAATCTCCTAGGATTTTAATATTGTTTCATGAGTTTCAATATATTCTAGGCATTACAGAAAACTTCTTGGAAGGAAGCGTCTTCAAGTGAATTTTTCTCCATGAAGACCATCCTGAAATTTATTTTTCTCTTCATTTATTCCTGTTTCTTCTAGAAAGTTCTGATCATTGGGCAGCTTGGTAACCTACTTTAGACAATGCATAGTGTAGCAGTAGGTATGTGTGAGCAATGAAGAATACAATTAAACAATGCTAAGTAGAAGGAGTTGGTTGTAAACTTTCAACAATAAGAATTTTTAGTCTGTGTTTGCTGTGATTTTTTTTCTATTCTAAGCAAAAAAAAAAAAAAAATTTGTGAAAGATCTTGGTCACTTACCAGGCCAGCAGTGACAAGTGTAATTGTCAGCACTGTCCTCACATGTAGCGTTATTATGACAGGGTTTTGACCAACATAGAGGCATCAAGGTCTCACAATGTGTCCCTGTGAATCCACTACCCGTGCAGTTACAGCTGTAGCTGGAGAGTAAAATGAAATTTTCACATCAACTCTTGGTCATATTGAGATCAAATATCTTTATTCTGTCTCTTCCCCTGTCCATCAATCTGAGACCCAGGGCATGGTTTTAATACTTATCTCAAAAACTCTGGGGAATAATCTCTATAAGTCTGAAAACATTATGTATTTCCATACTAATATCGGATTATCTTTTTAAATTTATAGTATGGCTTCATACAAAATTATTGGGAAATCATGATTATTTACTTCAGTTTTCTCATTCATAATTGAAGATAATAATACCTATGTCAAGGGTTACTGTGATAATTAAATGTGCATATAAAGAATAGACACAGTATCTGAAGCATCAGAAAATATTGAATTACTATTAAGTAGGACTAAATAAAGTTGTTAATATTTGTGAAGGCAGGTAGGGAATGATTTATACCACTGTGTCACTCTTTTACATATACAGCCCATTAATAAGGTCCCTTTTGGAAAGTGAAACAATAAATTATTTAAAAAACAGGAAAAGCTCTCATTATATGAATTGTGACTTATGTTCTCTTATTTTTAGATTACAGAAATATTTGAGTCTTGCTATTTCTAACCATTCATTGGTTGAGTGAGATTATCTGACGGATTCAAAATGCAAATCTGATGGAGAAACTTGTTGACTGTAAGAGGAGTTTTTTAATTTAGATGGGATCTCCTCAAGGAGTTAGTATTGTAAAAAGATGGGCTTGCACACTCAATTTAGATAAAATGAAAGTCTGGAGGAAAGAACACCTATGAATTTATAAAGAGTTGGAATCCTGTTCACTATGGCTTGTCTGTATATCTACCACCAAACACAGATATTAAGATTTCACTAAGGAAACTGAAATATTAGCAAATGTAATAAGTTACTATAATTTTTATATGTATTGCTAGTGAGAAATCCTCTTACTAATTAAAAACATTTACTAAAATTCTACTATATACGAGACATTAGAGACAAGAGCCATGTACTTGAGGCTGGCTAGTGGATCTCAATTCCTAGAATTAGAGACTCTATTTACAGATTCCTTTGGTCTGCAAGAACCTATTTTGTGTGTGTGTGTGTGTGTGTGTGTGTGTGTGTGTGTGTGTGTATGTAGTTTCTAACTCCCATAAATCTCATAGCAAATGTGTTAATTTTTTGTTGTGGGAAATCAAAATCAAGTTGTAGTTATTGACCTTGTGATTATCTTCTCAAAATTTAGGTAGTAAGAGAAATAAGGGTAAAAGAAAAATTATTCATGGCACGTGAGTTGGAGAAATGAAAGGGGGCAGGAATCAGCCTTGTTCTGCTTGCATTTCCATAGGAAGCAAAAGCTTTGTGTATTTTCTGTCTGATGCTTTGTGCAGACAGCAAAGCATGGATGGGAGGACCTCCTGCTCTTCTTCTGGAGTGCGTGTATGGAAACTTGCATTCTGGTGTGTCTGCATGTCGGCCAGTAACTGCCTTCAGGAATGTAGATTCTCGCCCCTGGAGAATGATTTGGGTAAAACTGAAAGTCAGAGGCAAGATGTGGAATGTGATTAGAAGTCAGGCTTTATAGTTTACAAAAGAAATACACAACTACATTGTTCTATTTATTTTTTAAAAAAGATTTATTTATTTATTTTAGAGAAGGGGAGGGGCAGAAGGAGAAAGAAAATCTTTAGCAGACCCCACACTTAGTGCAGAGCCCAACTTGGGGCTCAATCCCATGACCCTGAGATCATGGCCTGAGCCAAAACCAGGAGTCGGTCGCTTAACCAACTACACCACCCAGGCACCCCACATTGTTCTATTTAAAATTATATCATTTTGCTGATAGTTCTAGTACATGTGCCTTTTACTGTTCCCCTTTTGAGTCCGATTCTCTTTGAAACTCAGATTTGGGATAAATTCTATCTTACTTATTAAATAAAGGAGAATTGGATTCTAGTCCTTTCTTTGCCAAGAATTAACTGTGTGAACTTGTGGGAGTCACCTAACTTCCCTGAACGTTAGACACCTTAATGTAATGGGAGAATATTAATGCTCACCTTGCCTTCCACTGACCTGTTGAAGGACCCAATAAGACATTAAGTACTAACGCTGTTCAAATCATTATGCATTTGATAACTCAATATTTGTGGTTAAAATAGGTATCAGGGGCCCCTGGGTGGCTCAGTTGGTTAAGCCTCTGACTCTCGATCTCAGCGCAGGTCATGATCTCAGGGTCATGAGTTCAAGCACCATGTTGGGCTCCATGCTGGATGTGGAGCCTATTTAAAAAAAATAGGTATCAGAAAGGTCTATAAAATATTTTATATGAATTCAGCTACCACCTAAATTTATTATATATATCACATTAAGGTGTTATTTATTTATTTGTTTGTTTATTGTTTTACTGAAAAGCCAATGGTAGAATCTACTTTGGAGTAGAACCACATGGCTACTTCTTGCCATTCTACTCTTCCAAAAGTATTCACCCACTTCCCCGAAAACCTGAAAATTCAAGATACAATGAATTTAATATCACTGCCTTTCCAACACTGTTTATATAAAATTCCTAAAGGATGTATTTTTCACCACTTGATTCATATGCTTGTTATTATGTAAATACAACTTAATATTTATGTACAGAATTATTTCCAGCTTTGTTTTTGCACTGTCCCTATCTACAACAGGTTTATTTCATGGAATTGAAAAGCTGGGACTTTTCTGTAACATAAAAGTTCTAAACGATTACAAGAGTGACTCGGAAAATCTTCACTCTTGGGACAGATGACCTCCAAAAGATGCATCTCTAAGTAAAATCTGAATGTTACTACTTGTTGTCACTTAAAGTGTAAAGCAACATGAACATTTTAAGCTAAGGACTTGAGCCCTCCAAATTCCCCAGAGTGGTACAATAGCTGTTGGTCTGTGAGTTCTCTCCAAGGCAACCACCCAGACATAGGAGAAAACGTACCTGCTGTGCTGATCTACACACAACCCTCCATGGAGGCACGGCTGGCTGGCGCATTCATCACTGTTGAGTTCACAGTGATCACCTACGAATCCAGGGAGACAGTCACAGAAATAAGCCCCCAGAGCATCCCGACAAGTTGCACCATTTTGGCAGGGCTGGGACCCACATTCATCAACTTCCATTTCACAGTTCACACCTTTTAAGAGAGTCAGCGCAGAAAAAAGGAAGTTTTAGCACAGCATTCGTATTTTAGCTCTTTGTCAGTGCTTTATTTACCAAAGCTCTTGTCAAATGTTATGTTACCCAAAATAATTTTCCTCCTTAATTGTAATTGATACTAACTTTCTGGCATGCTTGTGGGAAGGTGCACAATGCAGAGCAGCTGTTCCTTACAAAGAACTGTTGCGCACAACAGCTTGTGGCTTTTTAGTCTGTTGAAACAAGTCATTTTTAGAACAAAGTTATTGTTAACTGTACTTTTGTTGGAAGCTTAAAAGGGACTGGTCAATGTTTTTAAATTATTTTTAAACAGTTAGTTCGACATCATATACAGAAGTGGGTAACAGCTCAAACTCCAAAGCCAAATGAGCTGGGTTGTGATCTTGGCACAGCCACTTAGCCGTGTGACCTCGGGCAATTCCTTAACCTTTCCATATCTCAGTTTCTGCACTTGAAAAAATGGGACCAATACTTGTAATTACCTCACAGGATTATTATTAAAATTACAATGTGCTTATGATAGTAGGTGGAACATATTAAATGTTGCTAGAGGAGGAAAAAAAACAATACTTGTTCCTTTTACATTTATTGTACAAATACAATGTGCAATTATTTCCTTAAGTGCTCTTCTGCATAGACTTTTTAATTTAAATTTTCTTTAGTGTTGTAAAATCCTACTTTTAATTAGGAAATCAGTTTGTGATTTAAACTTAATATAATTAGTGGCATTATTAGGAGCTACTTCATTTTAAGGTAATGTCACATAAAAAAATCTGTATTTATTCCCCTCAAAATAGTAAATGAAGATTATTGAGTAAGCAAAATAAGTTTAAGGTTTACAAAAGTAGTCACATGGAGACAAACTACCCTACTGAATCTATCAAAATAATATCTGATATATAATAATCAAATTTGCATACTTTTTAAAAGACACAAAAGGGGGAATATCTACATTTACATATCTTTATTTCTATGCCTACAAGCCAGGATAATAAATTATGTATTAAAATGATATTGAAGGATTTTCAAAGGACTCAGAGATTGTTAGTAGTTTCTGTGCCGCCTTTCCTGACAGAAAAAGCAGTAGAATATTCTAACACTGCTGACCATTTACAACTGTGACTAGATTCCATAAATACCTAAGTTGAAAAGGGAGGCCAGCATATTAAATTTGATTGCTTTTTGATAAGAAAAAAACTTAAAAATTAAGTTTTACGTCAACAAAAATAGAAAGTTGTGGAACAGTATTTGTTGCATGGTAAATGGCTTGCAGTATTTGAGGCCTGGCTATTTCTTACCCAGTCTGGGAATGAGATCAATCATATCTGTTTTAGTTGGCATTAATAAGGTGAAGGGAAAAAATGCTGAACTGGCTAGCAGAGGACCTGCAGTTCTCATTCTCTCTCTAAAATGCCTTTTCAGTAATATTTTAGTATCTCTATTTCTGCCATGCAAAATAATATGATAATAGAGATCTCTCTTTTCCAAGACTGTGTGTAAGTCAAAAACAATAAGTTCTTTAAAAAATATTTTCTTATAATCATTTTGTAACATATATAGCAACTCAAATGGTAATGGGTCAGTCTTCGGTAATTACAAGGTACAAAATTACCTCCCCTGAAATGACAATGATCAATCACAACTTTAAGCAGAGTGAACTGTATCCACCCAGGAATGTTTGGTCATTATAGGTTCCCATAGTGCTCTCTGAGCAGAGGGCAACTGGCACTTACTCCACACCTGCCATATGCAGAGTCAAGGCATGGTGATTTCACATGCATTCTTGCCTGTGTCCCATGCTCGTCAATGACTGTCTTTGTGCAATTCCTATCACTACATATTCCCGTTCTTGTCAATCCAGTTGTCCATACTGCCTTTGCCCATGTGATATTAGACTATGTCCTTTGGTATTTTAGTCATCCATATTTGCTGGAAAGTATTAACGTATCAAGCCAAATCAGTGGTTTGGAACTTGTTAAAGCTTTTCTAAATTTTATTTAACTCAAATAAAATTCATATATTCATCTGATATACACCCAGATTACCTCCTAGTATTTAAGAAATACATTATAAACCACTATTTTAAATTCTGAAGCTCCACTTATACGTTGTAGCTCAACTACTTTAGCTTTAAAGTGATCCTGATGTACATCCTGATGTGTTTCATAGTTTAGATACAATTTCAATTCAGCTAGTTACTTTGGGGTAATTTATTTGTATTACCTTGATATTACTTAACTATATGATTTTTATTGCAGCTCATCACTGCTGCTGATATAGACAAAAATGGCTGGGTCAATGTCTGCTTGATGCCAAAATAGCCAGATGAAATGTGGTAAGTATAGTCAGTCATCCAGATGTCTTTGTATTTCCAGATGCTGGCTTCATAGATAAAACATCTGAATAACTATGATTTGTATTTTTCATTTGGATACTTACTGTCAATCACATGCTTTTATCCATTAAATATACAATTAATCAACCTTCAAAAATATACCTGAACTGTGTGGTCCATTCTATCTGGAAACATTCATTTTATGCCTAGTGTTAGTAAGTACAACACCATGTTATTGTAACTATATGTGGTAATAGAAATTGAATAGAGTCACAGGGAGTAGTATTTCTGTGGTTGATTGTCTAAGAAATAGAAAGTTCATAATTGTAGAGTTCTTTCACAAAAATCCACCCAGGAACCAAACCAATCTGTTGGAATTCATTAATAGTTAATAGTATGAAACAAGAAAATAGAAAGGGTATATTACACACACACACACACAGGACAAGGAGAACTCTGCACCAAAAGAAGAAAGTATAAGACAGGAAAAAAAAAAATCCACTGACATCATTAGCTTTGGTAACTCACTATAACGAATACTGTGTTAATCTCCACAAAGGCATCCCTACATAAATGTAGATGACCTAAGTTGTCAGATCATTAATTCCTGACAGTCAGGGATGGTTTCACTCTAACTACTCAATTTGCATTAGCTGTCAAAAGAAGTTCAGAAAGTTTCTCACGGCCAAATATTTAACTAATATCTGCAACAACCCTGTTTTCAAATAAGGTCACAGTCTGAGGTACTTCGACTTAGGGTTTAGAACTTCAACAGAGGAATTTGTGTGTTGGGATTGGAGGAGGTCAAAATTCAATCCTAACAGACTCCTGCTTGGTTTGTTTTTCTGTCACCATCTTGAAATTCTTAATTTTTGAACAAGGGGCCCCACGTTTTTTATTTTGCAGCAGAACCCACAAATTATGGAGCCTTTCTGTGTATAAGCCCTTAATTCCCATTTAAGCTTTTTATAACTGATATACATAGAATGAGTTCTTTTTTTCCTGATCAAAACCTGATTGATACACAGACCTGAGATAGGAAAGATTTGAGTAGAATATTCAAATAAGCAGAACTGCTCAGTTTTTGGTCTACCTCAGGTGAGAGACAAGCAGAAAGTTAAAGATGTAGCAAAAATGAAGGAGGAGCAGAAATCCCAGACTCTTCAGCCTCACCCTCGATGAGTTGGGAATTTGATACCACCCCAGATAAGCGTTGGGATCCCAGGAGAGAAGTTGTCTCCACTTCCCTTAAAGAACTTTGGAAAGACATCAGGACACACATAATTTCCGAGCCACCATAGTACATAATGATAGAGCAGAGAAAACTGTGTAGGACCTGGGTAGATGGAAATGAGATGGTTTTATAGAGAATGCTTATTGAAGCATGCAAGGCAAACAAATCCTTTCTCAAATGAGTCCAACAAGTACTTTTTGTATTATTTTCCTTCTTCCCCTTTTCCTTTGCCATTCATCATGGAAGAGTAGGAAGAACATGAATCTTGTAGACAGACCACTCAGGATTAGCTCTGCTCTGTCATTGCTAACACCAAGGTTGGATTATAGTAAATGCTCAGTGAATGGTAGGTATTACCTACAATCTATTTCTTCTTTCCTATTCCTTCTTCAATTCCTCAGGGTAGATAGGAAAAAAAAATTTTTTTGAAAAGTCTTTGGAAGCAAACATATTCCTGGAAGGGAATTTGGAATAGCTTCCAATTCCACTAAAACAAATATAGATGGCATACTATGAGTATAGGAGCTAGAGACTGGACAAATTTGGAGCAGCCACTACACTAAGTATGATTTTTTAAAAAAGGGCTACAATGGACATATAAGTAGCTAGTGAGCAATAGTAAATATACAGCCCAAATTAGGTAGTAAATAGCTGAGGTAGATTAATCGACTTTAAATTATGAGAAGAGAGTAGACAATGAGGGGCTCTCCAGAACTGGAAATCTTCAAGGAAATAATTGCAGGTCAAGAACAAGAAGGTTCAGAGAACAATACAGGCACATCAGTAGAATAGCTCTACTCTCTACAAAGTCCAGGCTCATAAGGAGATATCAAGATAGAGAAGAAGCTTTGGACAGTATGAGTATAGAGAAGCCAGGTGGTTGATACTCTGCTAAAGATGAGGTAAGAATTCAACAGAAGCAAGGACACTGGAAGCTCTGGATGTGGTGAGGACTTTGGTGGGAAAGCAGTTTGGAATGATGAGAGAATCCAACTTGAAACTGCATCAGTGTATGGCTGTAGTGGAATAGAGATGCAGGTCACTGAAAATAGGAAGTTCAAGAAACGCGAAAAGCGGGCGCCTGGGTGGCTCAGTCGTTAAGCGTCTGCCTTCGGCTCAGGTCATGGTCCCGGGGTCCTGGGATCGAGCCCCGCATCGGGCTCCCTGCTCCGCGGGAAGCCTGCTTCTCCCTTTCCCACTCCCTCTGCTTGTGTTCCCTCTCTCGCTGTCTCTCTCTGTCAAATAAATAAATAAAATCTTTAAAAAAAAATGCGAAAAGCATGGTCCATAAAATTCTGCAATAGCTCCTAACTGGATTTGGATAAAGTGAAAACTTCTCATTTTGACATCTAAACATCTTGGTAATACTTCTGGTTTCATATCACAATTCTATCATCATTCTATATGC